ATCATCTTCCTCCCTGTCTCCTGGACATGCGCGTTAGCACAATTTTGTTAATTAAAAAAGACATTTACCCTCCCACCAAGGGCATACACAAATCTAATGTGGGCTTCAAGAATTAGTCTCACACATCCAGGCCTAAAAAACAACGTTCTCTTACTCACACCTAAGAAAACCCCCCCCAGCCTCTACATAACACTCAATGTGTTGAAGAGCTTGGCCGGTTGGATGTAACAGCTTGTCATGTCCAGGCCAGTGCCCTCAGCTTCAACATGACTTCATTCACACCCGCTGTGGCCTGCTAAGATCCAGACCACTGCCCAACTCAACAACAGGAACACCTGACAATCAGATACAAAAAATGGTGGATCAAGGCGGAACTTATTGAGCTGATTCGTTCATACTCTCAAGTCAAAGATATAAGGTATAGCAGGAATTATTCATAAACCCTCGAACAAGCATTTTGGCACTCCAGGGTTCCCTCGTCTCTGAGTCATTTACTTTTGAAATAAGATTTTGGTTAGACTCCCGAAATATTGGCTGTGGTTAAGGCAGGCTTACGAGATTTTCAGGTTTTGTTCAACGACAACAGATACATAAAAAACAAACCATTTGTGAATGTCTAAAGCTTTTATATGTCTATTAAAAGCCATCAAGACACACACAAATCCACCATTAGCTTTTCATATTTGAGAGGCTGAAAACAGCATTTCAAAAGCATATTTTTCTGTCAATCGACTAACCTAATTGCATTTAGAAGACACTTTTAGATATATTGCCTTATAGTATTGCCTCACCAATGCTGCTGAACGAACTTCCATGGTCATCGGTTAACTGTTTAGCATTTCAAAATTGCTTGTTTTGTCAGATCAGCTGTCCAAACGCGAAAAGATAAATAGTTGTCGATGCATTTTCTAGTTGATAGATTGAATAATGAATTAAATGGTGCAAGTACTGCAAGGGTTGATTGTGAGACAACTAAAACTAGCCGAGTCACACGTGGAAAAAAGAACACCAAGATCACTTTGATATTAAGATGTTCTTTGTCTCACAAACAACAACACTTCAAATGTCTCTTCAATATTCAATATATTGCCCATTCTGCAAATCTTACAAGATAGTGCCATAAAGGAAGACAACACAATGTGAAAGCCGCAGAGATGCTACCCTGTGGTCGGTAAGACCTTAATATACTGTAGGCTAGGATTTCATATATGCATCTATAAATATCACAAACAGGAGTGGGGATATTGCGCAGCCTTGTCTGAGACAGTGGCCACCTGATGCCAAGAATACAAACCACCTTCTTGCCCGAAGTATCAAATGATTGCACATAACCCCAGTACCCTGTTCTCCAACAACACCTCGCATGGAACACCTGAGGGAACACAGTAATAAGCCTCTTCAAAATCCACACACACCAGATAAAGGAAAGAAAGGCAAACTGTTGTGACCCCTTCATCTGCAAGAGGGTAAAACCTGCTCACTGCTCTGAATCCGAGTTTCCACAATTGGTGTTTAGTCTCCTCTCAGTTTAACAGCCGACAGACTCAAAGTAAAATCAAGAGTCTAGCCAGCCGTTTAAAGCCTTTACCGTCTTCTACCTTTCCCTCCTCTATCCTCTTATCCTTGTCTTTGAGTTTGGCCGATCAGTGAGACGACTACCCGTCAGCCTCTTGTCCTTCAGTCAGTCTTGGCTGCTCTGCTCTGCTCTGCTGGCCTCCGGCTCACCTCAACCAGACAGACCAGAACACAGCATGGCAGCATCCCGGCACTGAGCACACACCCCAAAAGCACACAGAGCTTTAATTCAGACCAACACTTCCTACTTTATGTGTGTGTCTGGGAGGGCAGGAAGCCAGCGCGGTAATAGGATGTTCCTCGCTTGCTTTGTGATCACTGATGTCTCAAAGACCTGGGTTAGAGCCAGAGGAAAAGCAAAGGCACCAAGCTTAATTTAACATAATAATACTGCCTTGAGTGCTAGACGCTTTCTGTTCATATAATGCTTTTTGTAAAAACCATAAATGATTATTGCATTGGTTTACAATCACAAAGGTTGGAATGTACTTTGTGGCACCTTAAAAAACGGAGGGCTCATACGATGATCAAAAGGATAGGAATTAAGGAATAAAACATATTTCTGCTACTATGAGCTGTTACCTCTAATGGCGCCTTTCCACTGCAGCGTGTAGCACGGTTTAAGCGTGCCGCGCCAAACCCGGCCCATTTTTTGTTGCGTTTCCACTGGGGGTAGTTCCGGCTAACGGGTACTGTTTCACAGTTTTTCTGGCTCTCCAAAATCCAGGTTCTTTCCGGGCCAACAACCGGGCTGAATATGCTAAACTAGTGAGAGAATCGCTGGCAAGGGGGTTACAACTACAACAAAATGAACATATTTTACCGTGATTTAATTGTAATGCACGTTTCAAAATGATGCCGAAGTAACAACATACTGATACCGCCTAGTAAAAACCATGAATTAATGCTTTGACAAGTCTGCAGACAAGACAGCAGGCAAAAAACCTTTTAAAATGCGTGTTTTCTGAATGGAGATCGGCTAAGCTAACGTTGTATATGCTCCGACCGTCCACACTCACAACAACGGCCCATACAGACATAAATAAACCAGCGACTGTATTCGCCATGACACAGACAGTCTGTGGTTTGTACTTGTTTAACTTTTGTCTAGTTTCTGAACAGATATGAGGAGCTGTGAGCTCTGAGTGCTAACAGCTAACGGCTGATGTTGGTTTTGTGTTTCGCATTGAAGATGACGTCACGGCTCCGCCTACACTGCGTTACTATAGTTACTACCCCAGTTCCTAAACTGTAATGGAAACGCAGCATAAAGTGAGCCTGGCCTACCAAGGCCTAACTATACCGTACTAAGCTGTGCGAGGCCCTGCAGTGGAAATGCGCCATAACATGCCTCTCAAAATTGTTAAATAAAACCCAGAAAAGCTTGTTTTGCTATTTGGTGTAATCATAATTTTATTTCAAGCTAAAATGTTGAAAATGTACTGGTTCTAGATTTCTTATTTAATATCACAGTTTATAAAAGTTTGATTGATTGATTGATTTGATCAATCAATCAATCAATCAATCAATCAATCAATCAATATTTGGCCAAAGACTGTAATATCTTCTATTGGACAGCCAATCAGGTTTCATTTGAGATCAGACAGCCAAGCACCTACTACTTAATTAGACAGACATCAGGCAGCCAATCATGTGTAATCTGACATCAGGCAACCAACACATTAATCTCATCATTGGATTGGGGGGGATTATGACGACCCGTCAGCAGGCGTTCCCCCACTCAACAGATCATGATTAGCCTTGCTGCAGCACTGACGAAAAGATGCAGAGATTAAGTGAACATCATTTTAAACTTTGAAATGTAGTAACTTTTACTAAAGCTTTACTAAAACTATATGGTTGTTTTTCTTGTCATATTGATTCACACTGGGATTGTTCTCTTAGAGCTTATTTTTAAAGAATTGTATGTGATATAGAGCTTTAGTAAATAAACAAAATATTGACATCTGAAAATATGATTGGTTAATTGCTTGTGATTGACATTTTTGGACATTTTATGAGGACCCGTTTCTTGTTATACCATTATTGCAACTGATACCTTTTCATTAACTAAATCAAATGGCCTAGAAACAGAAAACTATAAGTTAATGTTTTTTAGATAAACACATTGGCTGAAACTACATTATTACGCCTTTAGAAACAGTCTAAAAAAATCCCAGAAAAAAGAGATTAAAAAAGGGATGGATAACATGAATGGAAGATAACAAAACAAAAAACTGAAATACTGACAAATCACATTTGTATTATTTATGCAATCCTTTGGAATCACAGACAAGCAAACAGTTGTCTATTTGTCTGTAGCAGCATGGTCATGTTACATTTGAGAGCTGAGCAAGCAAAAAAATAGCTTATATTAAACTGAAGATAATAACCACTGAGGTCAGCTGGAGGAGTATCATCTAAGGGGGATTTACCCCCCCCCCTTTCTACATACACACACACACACACACACAGAGGATGCTGCTGGTTGCCTCTCTGGTTGCAACAGCTTGTGATGGCCAACACCCCAAAAAACACAGTATGTCATATGACTCTAATTTAAACAAATATTAAATAAATTATCTCTATGCTGTAACACAAAATTAAACCAGATCATAATATCTAATTTGGCTCAAGGAACTAAATGAAAAAGACATGTTCACATACTCTGATATCTACTGTATATAGAAAAGAGCAGCAGCAATTCATGATTTAAGTAATACAAATGTGATTATATGACTAATTTGTATTTGGCTACACGTTGAATTATAAAAGCCAGAAATACAGGGTAGACGTTGGGAAGTGAGTTGTATCGGCTGATTCATGAGCCACTTCTAATTACATGGAAGTTAAGACAAAAGATTGGATAAGTGGTAACAAAGAGCCATGTGATGCCCTTCAGATAAACCAGTAGCTTTGAAGGTAATGTTCATTTTAGGTAAACCGAACAGGACGGAGGTCTGTGTCGGGATTTTGCTACCGGGAATCCCTGCCAGCTTCTCCTTGAAACAGGGTGTGACACTCAACAAAAACCTCAACATACAACTTCGTAACTAGCCAATAAAACAAAAACATCAATTCAGCAGTTTTTTTATAATTAAAGTGTATAAGTAACCAGGCGGAGAAAGCAGCGTGACCCCCGCCCCGGCTCCCGTGCCCGTGTGTCTGCAGCCTATTGTTCCGCCGCTGTCACAGCCGTTAAGGTGCATCGCGGATTAGCTTTAGCTTTAGCCTCGCCGGCTAACTGCACAGCCGGCCAGCTAGCGTCAATGTTAGCCACTCGCCTTTTCACACAAAGCTAAAAGGTAACACGGCACCTTTCTTCCACTCGGTTTCCCAACAGTCGGTGTGTTGACCGGACCTGGACACACCGCAAACAAGCCAAACACTTAGTCACAAACACAGTTTAAAGAGTTTAAACATACCCAGATTTCCGTTCCCCAACTCATCGCGGATCCCTCTTCTGAGTTATCCCGTATTGGACGCTGATTTCCCCGCTCAGACTCTCCTAAACTGCCGCTGGGACTCTGGTCCTGCTGACTGTCTGCCCACAAACACACTCCTCCTCCTCCTTCTCCTCCTCCTTCTGCTGCAGCTCTATGCGCCTGAATCAGCAGGGCTGCACAAAACAGGAATCATGGATCACAGTGGCCCCAAAAATATGTTTATTCTTATATCGTTTAGTTAAGACCAACAAAAACATGAATACATAAAAAAGAGATTAAACTATGAGCTTGTGCAACAATTCACAGCATGTATTTGTATGTAATTCATAGTGTTGCATACTCAACATTATTTAATATTGATCAATTGGTTCCATGTAGTGAAGAAGATATTTCAAATCAAATAATACAAATCCACTGTCAAGGCATACAAATAAAATGCTTATTAGGTTTATCGAGTCTTTCTATGGTATCTTACAATATTGATAACAAGTGCTTTTCGACCTTTAGCTGTAGTCTGCCATACAGTAATTTTCCAGGAGTTGTTATTTTTCATCATTGTAATTGTATATTCGTTTTTTTTTACATTTTGTCATTGAATCTAGGTGATTTACATCAACGTGGGCTGGTCATTTTGCGTTACTGTAGCCAAATATAGCTATTAATCTAAAATACTCTTGATAAAAACATACATTTTGAATTCATTGGAATTTTCCAAATCATTCAAGCTAATTACACATGTTTTGGTATGTGTTCAAAAAATAGGTGAAATGGATACAGCTTGCACATGGCTTTTTGATGAGCTTATTCTCAGTGAAAATGTAGTTATTTAATGTATAGACCTACTGCAGATGTTATAATTGTTGCTTTGGTTTGGGATTTTCTTTTGGCATGGAATTCATTTGATGAGTTTAAATGAAAGATCAAATTTGGAATTTCTGTTCGCAATTAATGTTACACATTGCTTCACACATACATTTACTTTATACATATCATTTTTCTATGAAGTATAGTAGACTATTATACATTATTGACTTTTCCCATTTAACTTTTCCAACAAAAAACAAGGTTTGGAAGCCTTAATTAAATCTTTTGGCTGACTTATTTCCTTTTGCAGACATGCAATAAAGTTGTGGTGTCCCATAAAAACTGTTGTGAAAAAAGCACTCATTTTGAGAATAGATGCTTTATTTTAGGGAGTGACCATCAGATATAATTAATGAAGTGACTAAGTGACTCTATTAGCTGTAGCTTATTACTATATAAATTGGCTTTCCCTACAATATTTGTTCTGTGTTGTGTAGCAGTTTGTATGTTAAGATGGTGTTATGTTGTAAATGTTTCTTTAGAATGCGCAAATAAATGTTTACTTTTTCAAAGAAACCCTAGGCTTGAATTAGTGATTATACAGTTCCCTCTAGCGGCCTATATGTGTGACTACAGCTGTAGTGAGAGAGAGATATATGGAGCTAATTTCCTGCCATAACTCCACAAACAAACTAAACAGGTTTTACAAATGCCTCATGATTCACTAACAAACACAATGTGGTTTGCAAATACAAAACACCATCTACAAACTAATGCATTTAGTTTTGCAAAGAAAAAACGTATCTATCAAATAAACACATACCATTTTTCTAATAAATCATGTTTCAGAGACAAATTCAGCATAGGTTTTACAAGTACACACATTTTTTTTACAACTACAACACTTCTTTTTACAAGTACAAAATTTGTTTTTACAACTACAACACTTTTTTTTCCAAGTACAAAACTTTTTCTTATCACGGCGGAATATTACTGCCAAAAGTCACGTGACTCACTCACGTGACTTTTGGCAGTAATAGAGTGCACATTAATACAAATGATCCCAATACGTATGATTGTATGAAAAGATCTTAAAATCAATACAAATGTATTTATTATAAACGTTAGTCCTTAACATCTATCACTGTGTATATCACCATTCAAACATCTTTTAAAAGTTGAACAAACCCCACACAGCTCAGTAAAGACTGTGAAATGTTGACTTTATTTGATCATTTCAGTCAAAACTAACGTTCATATTTCTCTTTTTGATTATAATACTGATGAATGTTCAAAACAAAGCACTTTGGCAACTTACCACATACGTTTTAAAATGCTTAATAAGCACCGTAACTTTCATGATATAATTTCTCGTTCATAATCGGTTGTTTCCGTGAACGGCCGACTGTTGTGTGACGGCAAATGCGGCGGCCGCAAGGCATTGTGGGGCAGCATTTTCTCCTCTCCTTTCGGTTACGGACCGTCTACACAGCAGCGTTAAAAAAATCTTGGAGGTGGGCGTATCTGAAGCTTGGGGATTTTTTGCGAACAACCAATCACATGAATCTCCCGCCCGCGACATACGAAGCAAAAAAGTTTGAAGTAAACTGGATATAAACTCTCCAAACAGGCGAAAACATACCACTGTCTCTGCCACCTCCCTCCATGCCTGGCTCCTCCGGTTTATATCCCGGTAGGTAAATAGGGACTGGTCATAAAGCACCGGGTGATTCCCTATCGCTAATTTCTCCTCCATTTTTTGGAATATGAGGAAATGACCTGCGGTATGTCTCTCCCAGCATACACGCCGTTTGATTGGCTAGAGCTTGAACTGTCGGATTTGCGTACACGGGATTTGATTGGCTGACGCTTCCACCTCAGCCTCAAAAGTTGAACATTGTTCAACTTTGAATCCTGAAAATCCTGAAAATCTCCGCTCGCCTGCCCACAATGCAGTTCGGCGAAAAGTAAGGGAAAGTGACGTCACCCCATTCAAAGTGAATGGGCAGAAGCGTTTCAAGATTTTTTTAACGCTGCTGTGTAGACGGTCCGTTAGGGAGGTCCAGTGGTTCCTAAGCTAAAGGAGGTTATAAAGGAAGTTTGAAACCTCCTTTCCTTTTAATTTAGAGAATTCGAACGGCACTTATCATGGCTGCCACTGAGGGACTTCTGGGTCATTTCACTCCGTTAGGAAGGTTCCTAAGCTAAATAAGTTCTTATTATACATCCAGTGGCGACTGGTCATTAGGGGCAGGTGGGGCACAGCCCCACCTAGTGTCAGCAGAAAGTATTACACATAATGATTACAAAAAATGCAAAGAGATGCAAAAAAAGAAATACAAAAATATATAAAATATATTTTAAGGTCATGTTTAATCATCTGATTCGTCTGTACATTGCTGTTTTAGTCTGTGTTCTTCTAATTAGTGTCTACAGTGCCGTTTTGACCCATGTGGGACAAAACCTGACCATGCCCCACCCACTCACTGTCAAAGTGAACGGTGACTGTAAAAACTACACTGCGCATGCTCAGAGTATTTTTCAATGTAATGTGTGTGGCAAAAAAAAAAAGACCAAAGGGGCACAGAGCTGCCATCCCCACCATACGTCATCTCACATCATTCAGAGCTGATTGGCTGTAAATACGTGTACCGCGAAAAGTGTGCTGTGTGAAGAGGAGACGAGAGAGCTGCAGTGACGAGTCCTAAAACCAGGAAGTAAGCTGCAAAAAAGCAATGAGGTTTCTACATACTGTAGGATTTTAGAAAATAGCTCGAAATAAGATCTGTGGGAAACGTACCTGTTAGATAAATGCACGTTTTGTTCAGCCGGATAATATCCACATGTCTACCCTACTTTTATAATTTTTTTATCATAAATCTATCGATTAGATTTATGATAGACTTTTGAAACTACAAGAAGATAAGGAGGACTTTTACAAAAAAGTTATAGAAATTTTTGTCCAGAAGGATAGGCAAATGGACTTCATCTTCAAGTCAAGGTAAGACCGCAATTTTATTGAAAATGGGATCTTACTAAGAGAGAACAATTCAATATTTAAATGATAAAATTACATTTTTTGGGTATCCTTTTGTTGAACTGTCTGTTTAAAATTAATCGAAGCATCAGACAAAAAAAGCTTTTGAAAATAATATTATATTTTGGTTTAGGTCAAAATATAATATTTGTAAACCTGAAGAGTCAGTGCCAGTGCCTCACCAGCCATGAACCTCACTGCACGTCACTGCAGAAGCTTATATATAGACATCTAAGTTTTTTGTGCCCCACCACTTTTGTACATATAAAAACGCCACTGTATACATCCATGAGCTAAATGGACTATTCGACCGCAACCTGTATATATAAAGGCTCATACACACTCACACATACTCACTCACACATGCTCCACGGCAGCAGGGGGCACTACTGAGTCCATTGGGAAGGCGGGAGGTTGAGCAGAGCATGGAACAGCCCTTGCCAGCCTGATGACAGCGGTGTTTCTAGCGATCCAGCGATCTGAATTTAGCGATCACAACGAAAACAGCCAAGACACATATTGAGCCCAGAAAATGAATGTTCTTAGGGCTGTAAATATAATAAGCCTTTGTCTAAAATGGACAACATTGTAACTAAGGAGATTTAAACTATACAGTGATTCTGCACTCGGTCAATCAGCTGCTCTTCATTTTCTTTCCTGCTATATTCAATGAGTGATACAAATATTTTTTACCATACGTTCTGAATAAAACTGATACTGTTGGACTCGGTACTAGTTGACTGCTACCAGAAATAAAAGGAAGTACTTTACTGTGTACTTTGTGAGTAATCCTCTATCAGAGTCCCCTCCATAGTACATAATGCATGTTTTTTGCTATCTTTGATGAATGATAAAAATAAAATGTTACCATTAGTTCTCAATGAAATTGATACGGTTTGACTTTGTATTAGTAAGCCTACTACTAACAATACATTGAAGTACTTTTACTGTGTATTTTTTGAGAAATACTCTGTCAAAGTCACCTGCTGAGAACAAAATCAAGCCACTTCTGCTAAGTTTGATGAGGGAATTCTTTTTTGTTGCCATTAGTTCTTCGTGAGATTGATCCTGTTGGACTCAGTTAGTGGCGGCCGGCCCATAGGGGCGCTAGGGGCACCGCCCCCCCTCTTCCCACATTAAAAAAAATATATATATATATATATATATATATATTTAAAAAATATATTTTTTATTTTTATTTTTATTTTTAATAAACAAGGTAAATATTATATAATTGGTATCAGTAAAATGTATAATCTACAATAAAATCTCGTTTAAAATTGTGTTACGATGTCTAAAGTTACTGATAAGTCACATGTTTCCTGCCTGGCCTTGCCCG